TTCCCACAAATTACCACTATGTCCCTGCTTAAACTATCTAATTATTTCGTTGGCGTCCAGCCCGACCGGAAAGAAAATCGAAAGTAAGCCACAGTTGGCGCGTTACCTTGGTGATGCGATCGACATTGGTGCGTTCGATTTTCAGAGCGGCAAATTCGTGCGCCACTTGCCACCGCCATCGATTTCGTTATTCCGTTGCTCGAGTGTAACAAATAGTACCAGTAGTGGTAGTGGAAGTGGCAGTACATCAATGCCACCACCACCCCCACACTGCAGTGCTAGTAGCACTACATCCCTGTACGTGTGTTCCTCCTCATCTTCTTCACAATTACCTAGTACTACAAATGCCAACATACTACAACCACCAACTTCAACAGCCACATCAAATACGCTAAATGCATTAAAGCGCAGATACAAGGCGCAATCCCAATCCCAATCACAAACTCAGAATCAATCACAGACCCATGGTATACAAGGCATACATACGACTGCCATTAGTAGCAGCTGTGCCCCGTCAAGCGCATCTGGCGTTGCAACTACATCGGCTGCGAGTTCTCGTCAGCAATTAGAATTCAGGTAGAATGGCAAAATTAATCTTTTGTTTTTATTTGATTTGATGACGAATATACAAAAATATTAACGTGTTCAAGTTATTGTTAAAAATAGAGGAAAAATCTACATATGTATGTACATATGTAATTACGGTAATCATAATGCTGTTGCATGCTCTTGATTTGCTTTTGTTCTGGTAAATATGACATCTTCAATTGAAACAACTGCAGCATAAGATGACAGATTATGGATAGATAAAAAAAGAAACGAAAACTAAATTGGAAAATGGCGAAAAATTATGATAAATTGGCATTTATTGGCTATCAATGTTACACCAAAATACGTCTGTCCAGCAAAGTGCTAAATTACCACATCTGTCTGTGTTGTATTTTATTTTTTTCCAGACGTTTGGTGCTTTTCTCACTTGCATGCACATAGTTTTGTCTCATCCATGAGCGTTTATTGGCCATTTATGTGTTAAGATGTTTCCGAAAACTAAAATCGTACCACCTTTATAATTAACCATATACTTTTACATATTTCTGTCATAGTCGCGCCCCACGCACAGACGCTTCACTGGTGCCGCCTATACGTCAGACCGCGTCAATTTTTAAACAACCAGTAACTGTAGTACGTAATCATGAGCATACAAAGGTTCGAAATGATAACACCAAACAGACAAGTGGCCAGGAGAAACCAAAGCAAATGTTCTGGGAGAAACGATTAGAGGGTTTGCGCGCATGTCATCCTACCGGCGAAGAATTCGAAGATATCATTTTGCCAAAAAGCATACGCACCATTGGTCCAAATGTTAGTGAGCAGACTGTACTGCAATCGTTGGCTACCGCATTGCATATGCTCAACGTGCCTGTTATGGGACAAGCCTCCACAAAGACTGAGATGAATAAAAATGCTACAGCATTTTTGAATCCAGAACAACCACTAATGCAAGCTGTTCTAGTGTCAGAAGACGATATACGGCGCCAAGAGGATCGGGTTAATGCGGCTAGAAGAAAGCTCCAAGATGCTCTTAAAACTTAAACTATAATTATATTAAGTTCATCTTTTGTTAGCATATTTACATAACTGAAATCTAACCTTTTGCTACTAAGAAATTTAGTTAATTTTAAGGTATGCGTTTATGTACATATATCGCCGTTTAAAGTACAAACCCGCGTATTTATTTTCTAGAGAGTAAAAATATTCGTATTTCAAAATGGTTCTCTTTGTTATAAAGCAATCGAATTTCTGGCTAGTATATTTCAGGACGAATGGATAAGGATTGAGCCAAGAGCTTGTGTGAGCATATCCAATTTTTGGCAGCAAATTTCAGTTACGCGGTTTTGCGGAATGACGATACGCGGTTTTGTACTTTAAACGACGATATGCATAAATGCTTGAATCATGTCTTCAAATAACTGTAGCGTCTTAATACATTTTTTTTTTATACAAATTAAATTGTGTTTTTTATTCTGCGTAAAATCGGTTGGAAACACCGTGAAACATCCTTGTAATTAATTTTTCAAATTCTTACATCCACAGTTTTTTCAAAGCTTTGTCTTAATTTCCAAATTATTTATTTATGCTTTTATAATTTTTTTTTCCTTTGGATAAACGAAATCCTAATGATGCTTAAACTAGCTTCTAGCTGTAGACTGGAACCTTTGTCTTGGATTTTCGGCATAATGAGCTCCTTGTATATTTCTAACTAAGAATATTATTTTCAAAGCATCCGAACGTTCCACGCTTTGTTCTTTTACGAAAGATGGACGTCCTTTTTCTTTTTTGGTATTTAATCCATTTCATCGTCTTCTAACGCTTCATCATCTTCATACACCAAATCATTGTAATAACGTCTCGAACTGGAGAACTAAAAATAAATAAAATGTCGAGGTGTAAACGTAGAAATATTCTCTGAAGAGGTAACTTTCACGTTATTATGTCAATGCTTTTCAATAAGCAAAAACATATTAGCACTTCTACATATGTACACTCCCAGTCATTTGAATAGCACGCCCTTTTGATCCTCGGTATGTACAGTCTCATTTTGTTTGTTTAATATTCATTAATTTTTTATAAAAATGTAGCACGTAGTACGTGTGAATCCGATTTTAAAATTTTATACAAATTTAAAAAACATCAACAAGGGGGATTGTTAGGCTAGTGACCTGCAGTGCATAAGTTAATAATATTTTTAAAAAATTTCGGGTACGTAGGTTTGTTGACATGTTTTTTAAATTTCTATAAAATTTTTAAACCGAATTTACAAGTAGAATATGCTACATTTTTATAAACAAGTAATTGTTTAAAGTAAAAAAAAAACAGACTTCAAATCTCATAAAAAATTAATGAGTAGCGTTAATTTCTTCATGATCCAATGAACGGATCTAAACCAAATTAGTATGGGACCCCCTCGAGGTACCGCCTTTTCTTTACAAAAAAAAAAAGAATTATATATGTCGGTTAACGTGGTCCAAAGTTATGCCGTAACATACATACATGCAAAAATATTCCGACGAATTGATAATCTGCTCCTTTTTTAAGTTTGTTAAAAATTAGTGAATATTAAACAAACAAAATGAAAAGTGAAAACTGTACATATGTACATATTGAGGATCAAAAGGGTGTGCTATTCAAATAATTGGGAGTGTACATATATGCATATTTTGACGTTTATAATTGTATAGTTAACTTTATAATTACTATTCATTACCTTCCAATTTTATAACTATTGCCAAAACTTAACGAATAGTTAAAAAAATATTGATTGATGAAGTGAAAATTCTTAATTTATTACATGCAAGGCATTTTAAATTATATCTTCTTTTAAAATGGATCCAAATCGGTCGATGGGCTATATGATTGCGATGACTATACATTGCAATATTAGTTAAAAATGCATTTGATTAAATATGCATGCATGTTTTATAATTATCAACAACAAACCTGTTTGTAGACACCACGCCAAGCAGCAAAAGTACCCATTGCAACGACGGCGCCAATTGCAGCCAAGATTTTTGTCTTCTTCTCAGACTCCAAGAAATGTCGCTCAGTAGCTGTTAGTAATGGGTCATTGGATGACTGACTTCTTATGGTTTTGAGTGAATTGAAACCCTCATTTCTGAAGATGTCTTTTGTTATACGATTGATGAAATTCACTAAGTTCTGACAGCCTTTTATGTGATTTTGTAGTGGATTATTGGGCAATGTTACTTTAAAAAGAATAGCTAAGTACGAATAAACAATAGCATCGAATTCACTGAAGAAATCGCCAAAGAACCATACTTTTCTCCCCAACTTTTTCGATAAGAGATTGACACATTTTTTGGCATTCGTGATGAGCTTTGAAAATATAGATTTAAAAACAGAAAGTTTTATCTTTTATCTAACGAAAAGAAAAAACGATATATGTTACACTTACATAGTCACGGTCATGATTTTCGAGCTTATCACGCGGATCAAAACCGCCCATTACCATGACAATGTCACACGCCTCCCGCTGATAACTGCTTGGGTAGAAGAAATTAAACGGGAACGTTGTACGTTTTGCATATAGACTGCGTGTGGTATCGAAGTTGTTTGGTTCGCCATACATAAAATAATGATAGTATGAATGAAGATTAGTGAATACCCAATTGGCATATGCGGGTGAAAGTAGTTTGTGTTCTTCTTGTAGATGAGCATCGACTGGATAACCCTGTAATTAAATAATAAATATGCATATAATACGCAATTTAGTAACATTTCAATTTAATGCCGATTTATATTTTTGAATTGGTGCGACTTAACAGGATTTTACTGTAAACAGTGCAACTTATTTTAAACGGAATGTGTGTACTTCTATTATTAGCAATCCAACAAGAGTAAAAAAGTCAGCAGCTTTTAGGGATCATTGAACGTGCGTACTTAAAATGAAATCGCGATACAGAGGTTGCCTTGTTAAAAGTTAAGAACGCTCATGCATATATCTTGGTATACATATTCATATATTTACATACATACATAAGTATGTATAGTATATTGGCAAGGTAAACTTATTTATAATAAATTGCTTCTGTTATAACTTTGTGAATTGTATTAAGATAAGCAGGAAAACATTCAAGTGTTATTGGCACACAACTTCGTTTCGGAATTGTTTTGGCGCCAGGCAGTCTATCCTGCCACTAAATGTTCATGCACACAGCTACTTATCAGTCTTATGAACTGTCTACTCACCTCTTTGTCTAGCACTTTCTTGATTTGTCTGTATCCACAGAATCTTTTATTGCCAATTTGGAGGTAAGGTAGTTTCCCCGTGCTAGAGCGCATGGGATTGGCATTCGTGTCGATTTGTAGAGGGCAGCGCGTAAATTTAACCAGACACTGAATCAAAAAATAAAAACCGTTTATTAATAAATTTAAATATGCATGTATATAGATCATAGTTTGGTAATATGCAACACAATTTTTACTCATACCAAAAATTAATTTGATAAAAGAGATACATATGCTTTAAAATTTAGCGCAATGTCACTAATAAACATTCAGTATGATGCAACTTTTTCTTCTTTGAAAGATATGTCTGATCAGCTCCGCTGTAATTTTTCTTACCAACGCTCGTAGGCAATCGAAGTCGATGGACGGCAGACCCCATTCTCCTTTATAGACATATAAAACACCACCTAAATGCATATTTCAATTTGATTTATACACGCCACTTTGCCGGAAATGTATTTACAATTGGAAGGTATATATATATAACAATTTGATAATTATTAACTTCGAAATTAACAAATTAAAACACGATATGCAATTGCATGTGAATGATTGAATGAGCACTGCAAATTTCACTAGGTTATGAACGGACCGCAATCAGCTGATTTTGATCGAAATTTAGAGAGAAACTAGTGAAAGTGAGCGGATTTTGTAAAATCAGTGCTGGAAAACAGTTGGAAAAACATAATATTCTTGTTTCCCTTTTGCGCTACTATTTCGTAAACAAAACAAATCGGCATGCAGTTCAATTATTCAAGAAATAATTAATTATTTGTGAAAGGTACGTTCGTTTAAAATTTTCAAGTAAAAAATATCCAACAGCAAAATTCCAGCAGAACGCATGTATTCAACATGCTAAATTGAAATCCTCCGCGCTCTAAAGGCGACTACCTACGCTAGATAAAAGAAGCTTTGACGATTTGTTTCAGGATTCGCTCAATAGTATGGCTTTAGTGAATTATGGTAGTAGTTGTTCATCTGATGATAGCAATGATGAATCGGACAAATGCGACACCAATCCAGCGTTATTGCCAGGTAAAATCGCAGAGCCACCGCCAATAGTTACGAGAATTCGTGCACGCCCAGCGCTGAAGAGGTATGTTTACAGTGAAATTGGTTTTATTTTGTTTATATGTTTATTGTGTTTATATATCTTGCTCTCCACAGAACTTTGCCAGATGCGCTTTCATTATTGGGCGCAAAACGGGCGGCATTAACAACAAGTGAAGATCACTTAGATGATCCAGCAGAGCACGATGGACGAGTGCGAAGTTTCAAACACGAACGTGGCAATTGGGCGACGTATGTGTACATAGCAGGTATTCAGGAATGTACAGTACCATAGAATTTAATTACCTTGTAATTTGACTAGCACATTCAGAGCAGTTGGAAGATGTACAGGAAGTAAGCAAAGAAGCATTGGCCGATGTGCTGCACGATTTACACACAATAGAAGATTTGCACATAAGTTTGAGTCGAACTGTTGTGTTGCAATATCATCACATTGATTCATTTGTTGAGTCCTTGCGGAATAAGCTGGAAGTCACTGCAAGGTAACTAATAGGCATTCTATATGAAAAATTGCAAATAACACATTTTAATGCAATTTAATTTCCAAAAAGCTTTTCCATTAGCTTGAGTCGCTTACACATCTACACGAATGAAGAGCGAACCCGCACTTTTATAGCATTTAAAGTGGATGAGATGCACTTTGATAAAATGCATCAGCTCATGACGAAAGTGGACGGTGTAATGACAGAATACAGGTTACAACGCTTCTATGAAGTAAGTCATTGTTCAAATGCGCCGTTAATTAGTAATAGCATTTTCTTTTCGTAGGACCCATCGTTCCACATCAGTTTTCTGTGGTGTCTAGGCGATAAGGTCTCAGTTTTGAATGAAAATCTGGACACATTGAAATCAGCAATCAATGTGTCATTGGGTGAAAGCAAAGCATTTAGTTTATTTATTCAAGAAATTATTTGCAAGAGCGGTAATAAGGAATTCGTGTTTAAGCTTAAGTGAAGGTAGACAAATTTTTCAATGTATTTATTCGTAAAAATTTGCAGCGTTACAAGTCAATACATCTCTGTATAAATATGATGCCTTATTAGTGTGTTTGGAGTTTCTCAAATTCTCCTTTACTTTTTCTTGCCGTTACTGCTTTGCTTAGCATTTTTCTCCTCTTCTTCCAAACGCGCTTCCTCCTCCATTTCTAGTGCACGTTCATACCTTCGTCCGAGTGGCGTTTTAGACCACCAGGAATCAAATGCTTCTTCCTCCTCGCGATAAACCGGATCTCGAGTGCTGAAATAAAGTAGGTAGTACAAATTTTGAATAATTTAACAAGTCAAGGAATAAAATATGCGTAGGCATCGCGGAACAAATGGTTCAGAGTTTCATAAGTGTTTGATTACCTTAATGCGTTTATAAGCTCTGCATGAGTCAATGGCTGTGTCCGCAGCTGTAGCTTACGCTTACATGTCAATACTTCTTTCAAACACGAATCAATAGAGCCAATAGTGTAGCCATCAGAAATTTTCGCCATTACACTGTAGTCCAAATTGGACAAGCCACCAATATATTCACTGAAATTCATAAAAAACAAGTAACACCTACCTACGTATGTACATACATATCCTTATTAACAAGTCAAATACGCGCTTGTACATACTTAGCCAATGCTTTCCATGCGCTCGATCGTACGCCATAATCCGGTCTGGGTATATAAATGAAGCGATTATAAGTTTGCTGAAAAAGTTTTTGATCCGCTTCCCAGGGTAAGTTGGAAGTTCCTATGAATAGGACACGGTCCTCCGGCGCTATATTCTTAATCAGTCGTGGTAAATCTTTCTTCAAGCGTTTCGGATCAGTGCGATCTGTCTTCGGCACCTTCTTCATAAATGGTCGCTCTGCATCGCCCATATATATGACTGCAGGCTGCAGAAGACGCGATACTTTGGAAACCAAATGTATAAGCATTATGAGACCTGATTTCCCCGGATATTTTCCAACAATATTAGCAGGTGTTAGGTCAAACAGTACAGCGCCCACTTCAGTGCAAATAGCGTGCAGCAAGGCCTTTTTGCCCGAACCACGCGGACCGGCGAGCTGTATTGAGCGTATAAGTGGGCATGAATTACGTATGGCTTCAGAGCCGAGTGGTAAAATGCAGTACTCGATGAGAAGCTGACGGATGTCACCAGCCGATGGATTAGTGCCAGAACGTTCGCTCAACGCCTTGTCGCCAATATATTGATTTAGACGCACTTCTGGATACTTGCGTATAATGCCATTGGTGACAAGCTCCTCGTAGAGTGATTCAGTTGTACGATCGGGTGTAAGATCTTTTTCTTTCTTCTTCTTGCTTTTCTTACCGGATCGGCGTGTTTTCTTGCTACTCTTCTTGATCTTTTTGCCGATGGCGGACTAAAGGATAAGTATGAAGTAGGAAGCTGCTGAAAAAGCTAATTTTATGGCTTTTTTACCTGCAACAATTCCAGCTCTTGACGCATTAATTCGTCCACGGCGCGTCGACACTCGTGCTCTACCTCCAGATATTTTTCATTGTATATCATGTCATCGTACTGCGCTTGAGCCAGGTTGCCGGCTTCGTCTTTGTTACGCCAGACTTCATTGAATCTAGATATAGGTGGATATGCAGATGTCTGTGTTTGTATGCAAAAGTAGCTTATGTCGAAAGGCTTAGTATAATGCGGCATTCCCTTTATTCTTTAAACGACAAGGATTTTTTGATGGAACTTAATAAGAATATTGACTAGCGGAACTATTTCTTGCACGTTTATTTGCCAAAAGTTGTTCAATGGCTCAGCGCCAGTGAGTTATTCGCAATCGTATGCTGCGAATGCCGATTTATACTAAAGCCAGCATTTCGACATAAGCTACTTTTCCATACGACCGACAGATATATGGTATACGTCTAATAAAAAATCTAAATAATTAATTAATCAAGACTAAAAAAGTAAGCATTTCTTTTTTCCTTAGACAAAATCAGTCTGTTTAGGATCTCGTTTGTGATAACCGTGTTTTTTTCATGCGCGACTTACTCTTCAATTGCCGTTTTGATATCAGCGAGAAGCACAGTTTGGCCAGGTTGAAAATTTTCCCCTTCCGCCTGGTTATCCAAAACGTTCAAGTCCCCGCTACGCGCTGGCGATTTTGATTTGTCCTTGGTCTTGCGCGACTCCTTTGAGGAGCGCGCTGAAGAGCGGCTGAGCTCGCTTTCAGTGCCTAAAAATTAGTAAAATGAAAAGTAGAAATTGGATCTCCACTAAATGCCTGTTGTTGGAGAAAAATAAATACATATTATACCTGGCCGACTGAAGATATGCAGCGAACCGCCTTGGTCCTCGCTCGGAAATTCTGGCAATTTGCCCGTTTTCTCGTAACAATCCTTGATCCAGGCGCGTAACTCATCGGTTATGTCCTCGGTTATTGTAGCACCCTGCTTGGACTTTATGTCCGCGCGCACAGCTACTACGGATGATTCCAGTTTCTGTTTGTAGGCCGCTTGTGTTGCATAGCGACGCTCGTAAATCTACGTGAAAGCAAATAAACAAATATAGGTTAACTTGAGCTTTGATAAGTTCACTACCACTATAACTACCTTATTTAGCTTGTCCTCCTTTTCGGCACGTCTCTTTAGCATCGCCGCGGTGGGCGGCACCATGCCGATCAAAATCATTTCTTCTTGCTTTCGTCTTCGCGTGATGCGGCGCGCGGTATGGCCGCGCCACACCTTCTGTATCTTCATGGCGGCCAAGAGACCCATATCGCTGCGCTCCTTGCCTTTCTCCTCTGCCTTGCCCTTATCCTTCAGCATGCGTATCTCTTTCATGAAATGCGCTCGTAACCTTCCCTGGCGCGCGCGCTCATGCATCTGCAAGAGACGTATAGCCTCGATTTCACTTAGCTTCTCTTCACTCGGATGCTCTTCTAACCAACCCAGCTTGATGAGTATTTCGTGCATGGTACGATTGCGTTGCTCGATTTCTTGTTGTCGTTCGCGTAGAAAGTAGCGCGGTATATGCAGCTCAGTATCCATGGGCGTTAGTTGCAGCCGTATAACAACCGCGTCGTTGTAATTGAACTCCATTAAATCGATATTGACCAGATCATGTTTAAGCTCAATAACGCGCCCCAGGCACGCGTCGAGTAGCTTGCGCACCAAGAGTCGCTTCTGTGGCTGTATCATTTTATCGTAAACTTCCTCCAGACGATTAGCGATGCCGATATAGCGTAAATAGAACTCATAGACAGTAGACTGAATAAGCTTTTTTGGGTCGGTCACTGCTTCTACATCCGGCAGGGCTGAAGCCAGAGCGGCGAGCGCAGTCTCGAAATTCTGTCCCTGCTGCTCATCGGCGATTGCTAAAAGATCAACTTCGTGCTGCGCCTGGTGCCAAAGGTCATTGTAGTAGTGATTGGACATTATTTATTAGCGGCAAGGATAAGCGAGAGCAAAGTGAAACAACCGTCGAACACGACTAAATGGTAACTGCAGTTTTGTGGAAACAGTTGCAGCGTTTGAAAATGGTATTTGATTTGGTAACCATAATAGTTAAACCCATGGCAACGAAGAAGCTAAGAGGAACTGGCGCCATGACGCGTTCTCAACTGATTTCGAAATGGGGTAGAAAATGCTTACGGGTTCACCCTTTTGCAAAGCTGTGTAGAAAACCCTTAGTATAACGGATTGTTTGCGCAGCGCAATAAGCGTCAAAACCACCAGCTTCGGGTAGTTTGTTTAACAGTTTAAAGTCCTTACTTGCATCAAACCACGCTTATATATAACAAACAAATTTATTTGGATTTGCCAAACTCTCTGATTGTACTTTTTTTGTTCATCCTAGTCTTAAGGAAGCGCCTAGTCTAGGTTTGAAGTTTTTTATATCTGCTAAAGTTCTATCTTATCTGGTGCCACAGTTTAGCATGTTTCGATACCGATCAGTCTTAGTCCGTTATCGAAGGTATTGCAATGGTGGCTGAATTTTTAAGTTTGCTCGATGGAGGGAATGACAAATGTATTTGGGGAGGGACTCCAACTCCTGCCTACAACTTGATATAAAGCAAGCCGATAGCTCCAAGACGGACGTCTACTTGCAGCCTTACTTACTTGTGTGCAGACGCTGCACGTTCTGCTTAGCTCTTGCCACATTTTCCGCGCGGGCTTTTGATTTTTACCGAAAGGATACTATGTCTGAACCGGAATTTTCGAATTGCTTTAAAAATATTTCTTTTTGGCCAATCACTGTCCAAAAGTTTTCTTTTTTTCCGACCAACATATTGGGAACTGACTAAGCACAATGTCTTAGAAATCGTCTTATATTCGGACCGTAGCCGAGAGGGTCTCCTAAATAAGAATATACATATGTCTTTGAAAACTAAACTCAATAAGCATGTACCTACAACTTTTTATTTACATACATATGTATTGTCCACCACTCGAACGCACACTGGACTGGGCAGTCGGCCGAAAACAGGTTCCAGTTTTGTATACATGAACTACGCATGATTATTTATGTGTGCGTGTCAGTCCACAGTCAATCCGCGATTTTCGCGGACTGAAATGAGCGAGTTAAACTCGAGCTCTGTTCCCCCTCTTATCCACACAAAACCGGTTTTAGGCGGACTGAGCAATCTAGTGTGTGGAGGCCGATTGGCAACGAAAAAAAAATATGTCTCCCACAGACAACGTAAAAACAAACGTTAGGTTGTAACTCGGCAATTTAAAAACAATCGGGTATATGCTGCAAATCGTACTATTTGAAATCGGTGCGATTCCAAACTCGTTTTGAATATTTTTAAGGAGAGTAATAAATATTTCAAATGCAAATGCCGAGAAACTCATCAACTTCAGGCCATATCCACCGATCCAGTGCCAAATGTTGTCTTTTTGCTAAGAAATCTCCAAAGTAGGCGTGGCCAATCGTACCGTTGAATTTTAGAACACGGGCACCATTTCCCATCTGTAAATTCGAGATAACAATTATTTTTGGCCCTGAATAAAACTCGCGTGGTGATCGATTTTCAAATAAATAAAAAACATTCAAATTTGTTTTTAATTTTAATCTTTTAATTTATTT